TTAGCTCTTTAGCAGAATAAACATACGATTGATATTATTCTGGTATTTGTTCACAGGTATTTCTCCATTCAAGGCAGTTTTTTCATAGAATTTTGCGCGTAAATCTGTTGTTTTCTTGCCTGCACTGTGCGAAGCTGTGTAACCAGGCGATATGTATCAGACAATGGAAGACTGGACACTGGAAGCAGTGCGAAAAAATGTGACACTTTTTTTATTCGTTGTAAGGGGCAGAACAGACACAAAGAAACGTTTCTACAACTTGAAGTGACAGGCGGTCGTCGACACTGTAAACAACTTTGTGGGGGAATGGAAATTCCATGCTGCGTAAGGTTCTCCTGTTCGAGAAAAGCGACGATAAACCATTTAAAAGACCTGTTAACGAAGGTTTAACGGCAAGAAATGTAAGCTTGAAATAAGCTTATACTCATCACAAACGGCTCTTTTAGGAGCCACCAAAATCGCAAAAGCAGTGACCAGTACTCTCTTGTTGTTGTAATGTAGCATTTATTCCAGTATTATGCCCTAAAAGTGTCCATTCACGGAAATTCACAGCACCTTTCCCAAATTGTCACGCAGATAGGGCGCACCTACAATTTTGATCGCAAATTTTTGGAAAAAAGGTGCGGCTTATCTGCAAGTCTTTACGGTAAATGTCAGTCATTCTTCACAAAGAAATCTATGTTATTGTAATGTGGCTTTCAAGTTTGCAACAGGTTTAAAGTAGCATGTTTAAACCATTGTCTGACATACATGTACACTGATGTAGCCTGCATTTCTGGTTTTAGAAATGATCAATTGCTTCTCTGTTGCACAACAGTTTGCAGGCACTTTCCTTGAATAGCTCATAATTACTGTATTTTATCATTTTGACCATATGAGTAATGGCCACGTGAGTAATGCCACATCCCACAATTACAGTAAAAGGTCAAAATTCAATTTTTACCTGCACTTGAATCCTCTGGCTGATCAGTTGCTGAAACATCATAATCAGCAAACAGCTTCTTATTGGCTCTCCTCTTCCTTTTAGAGCATCCAGTGCTCTGCGACAGAGCTGAATAACGAATACGCATGCGCCAGGTTTTGCCGCGGAAACACGGATTTTGAGTCGTTCGCATGGTTGATTTCCTATTCTGTTGCTTCGAGGCGTCGTTTTCCTTGCCGCTTTTCTTTTATAGAACAACCTCCAAAAATTTGGTACACCCCCTAAAAGTTTTCAAAAATGAATTTTCTCCTTTAAACCTTTGGAAATAGGAAAGTGTATTCGACGAAAACAGAGTTCCTCGGTTTTAAAGGTCAGCCCTTATTATTTTCCGCTAATTTCGCTAAATTTTAGACCTAAGACACTTGAGCCCGCGTTGTTGACCGCATACCCGATGACGTGCATTTCATTATTCAGCTCTGTCGTGCTCTGCATTTCTGCACTGACTGATTGGTCAGAGGCTATGCTCTTGCAGTTTTTATCTGCCTCACCCTTTCTACCTTATTAAAGATCAGTACAAAAAGAAGCCTTCACAATGGGCGGTCTGCTTTCCCTGAACACTACACACGTGTAAACATGACGTATAGTACGACAATTTTACGTTTTCCAAATTGGTAGAACCTTGAACACTTTGCGTAAATCATTGTTAAAATTAGCGTGGCATGAGAAGACCAGGAAGGATATTAAGGGAGCAATGCTGTTAGATATTTATTTAAGAAATGGAAAGTTCAATCTAAAAAAGATGGTTGCCTAGTTGATTGGTATATGGATAATAATTAAGTTAGCTTATTTTTTTAAGACGGCCGGCTCGATGAAACTTTGGTAAAACCTTTCGCTGACCACTCTACCTTGCTTTCAGCAAACGCTGTTTCAAAGGATCCGACCCGGAGAGTAACCGTTTCTGAATCGAGTTTTTGCTATGGTGCGAGACTGCTATACACTTACCATAAACAGATAAAATTTTCCCCATTCAAATGTCATTCTTGTACTGCATAGAAACTTCCGTCCCAATTTGGGCCGATCCTTTAAAAATCAACTTCTTCAATGAAATCGCCTCCACCAATTCATTTTCGAAAGCCTCCTCTCCTTTATTTTTCCAACCAACTACAACATGGCTTGCCGACTTTGATGATGACATACTGAGCCGTGCAAAAGAAATCAACATATACGTTCCACTATAACCATCATGCAAACTAAACACACAAATAGTATTTTGGACCACCTTCTGTCTTCCGCTCTTTTGCGACGCCTTTTCGCACCTTGTGAGATATCTGAAAATCTTTGGTCATATTTAAGCTTGATTGATCGCTGTTTATGCTCCAAAGCTAAACCTATCTCAGCTGAGCAATGCACCAGCTTGAAACTGCGGTCGATTCAAACAATTCTCTCATTCGAACTTGACAGCTTACAGATTTTTCATCAAACAGATTGTCGAGTGCGAACGTGTCATTTTTCTCGGCTGCTCGGTAATGAAGAAAATCAATCAACCGCTCTCAATAGAACGTTTACAACGTGCATTCCGCGCCATGTGATCATATTCTTGATATCAACTTAAGATCTGCTACATGATACTTGGTCAGTTTTTTATGAAATCACCATTGGAAGCGAAACATCGTGCGCGCTACAAGGTACCTTTAAGCCACCAAAGACATTGTCTAATCGCGGAGTTCCAAAATCTCCTAAGTATCATTGATATCAGGGCCTTAACTACTAACAAACCTCGATCATATCTTTCGCTTTCGTTGTTTATAGTCATCATAAACACTCTTTATACCTAGGAAGAGAACTCAACCATGGACCGATTGCCTCAGTAATAAGTTTTTCATGGACATTAATTGCCTCGATCGTGTGATTTTTCTCGGCTACGGCCCTGAAAATATTAAGCATTAAAAATCATTGAATCATAGCAATACTTTTAAGGATTAAAATACGCGCTTACCTGATACTTAGTCTTGGAAGGTTGACGATGATCAAAATGAAGACAGAAGAATGAGAATATTCAGTTAAGCCGTTGGACTCGAGAACTTGATTTATAAAGCGGGATCAGGGTCAAAATCCAGTTCCAAATAGGAACAGGCACAACAAAAAGTCAGACATCAAATTAGGAACAGGCACAGCTTATTAGGAACAGGCACAGCAGNAAGGAAAGACCGCAGATTGCCATATGTTGCTTAGAATGATTAGGTAAATTAAAATGTCTAGCGACTGGTTTCGATGTGTCCTTGTCATTCCTTTCCACGTCTCGAAGGTGTTCTCGGAATCGGTCACCTAGTCTTCTGCCTGTTTCGCCGATGTATATCTTTTTGCAATAAGTGCAAGTTATGCAATAGATTACATTGGCGGAGGTGCACGTGAAGTGATCGGTGATCTTAATGGATCGTTTAGGTCCCGATATTTTATCAGTGTTGTGAATGAAAGGACACGTTTTGCATCGTGCACGAGCGCATTTAAAAGTGCCTGGTTGGTCATTAGTCTGAAAAGAACTTCTGACCAAAAAATTGCCTATGTTTTTGTCGCGTTTGAATGAAATGAGCGGAGGCTGCGAAAAGATAGTGCTTGTCTCTGGATCGTTTTGAAGTAATTTAAAGTTTTTAAGAATGATGGATTTAACTGAGTGGTTGTGAGGGTGAACGTGAGAGTGAATGGAATGCGGTCGGAATCTTCCTTTTGTGACTTTTGTAGTGTTGAATGTCGATCAATAAGTTGGGCGGGGTGGTAACCCGCTTGAACGACAGAAACAGGGTAACCACGTGGTTACCCTGTTTCTGTCGTTCAATATCGTCTTGAGCAAAGGCTTTTTGACGCGCCTTGATAAGAGCCTTAAATTCGGCTGTCACCCAGCTGGGAGCTTGAAGGTCTTTAAAGGCATAATGGTATCTTAGCCAATCTTGACTAGATCTTGAAAAAGCTGCTGCTTGCTTTCGCAATCTTGCACAGAGTCTAGAATAGACCAGTCAATGGAGTCGAAATACCTGCCAAGTTCACATTTACGACTGGCGTGAGTATCCCTGCGGGTGAAAAGACTACGACTACCAGTGACGTCCCTGCTCCTTAGCTTAGGCTCGAGTGATACCACCAAATGGTCGGAGACCAAAAAAGAGGAAAAGTTTGCACAAGATCTTTGTTGTACACATGGCCGGGGCATATTGGTCAGAATAAGATCTAGTATCTGATTACCCCTGTTGGAACGCCCACAAGTTGTTTTAACTTGAATTGGGTTTGAAGCCTACTGATGTTAAGCCGGTTGAAATCCCCAGATAATAGAATGCCACAACCAGGATAGCGTCCTTCGATAGTCGTAAGCAAAGAAATAAGATAGTCAATCAGAGCAGCATCACTGGATCCGTTAGGATACAAGGTGTGGTAAACTGTACCTGAAACAATACAAGGGAAACCTGTCGGTAACCGCACCGGTCTAAGATGAGCCCACAGTATCTCCAACACAGGATGGTATAAGTCAGTCAAGGCTTTGTAATTGATGGTGCTATTAATGTAAAGATCCACTCCGCCATGGACACCGGATTTGGTACCTCTTGGGCTGTTCAACCTCAAAAGGTCCACAGGAGGAGCTTCTGTGATACCTTTTAGGGTATTGCGCCAAAGATACGTGACTATGTTGTTGTAGAATTGGTGCCTCAGGGGTGATAAAAAATTTACGACATGGCCATAAATCAGGACCTCGTAAAAGCACGTCTATCCGGCTTACGATCAGGACCTCGTAAATCAGGACCTCGTAAAAGCACGTCTGCCCGGCCTACGATCTTAGATCGTCTTCTTTTCTACTAATTTCGCTAAATTTTAGCTCTGTCAGGAAGAAGTGGACTGGAAAATGTCTTATGTAGCCTCGCCTTTACGGAGCTTAGTTGCCTCGCCCTTACGAAGCTTAGTTACCTCGCCTTTCCGAAGCTTAGTTGCCTCGCCAGCTCTCACCTAGCCCTTAGCGGTTGTTTAGCCAAAGTTGGGGGAATCCTGAGGCAATTTTTACTCTCATTCGTGTACTTGCGACAATTAGAGGGAAAAAATGAAGATCGAAGAGGTAAAGAGCACTACTAAGACTCAGCGGATAGCCACTCATAGCCACGTGAAGGGACTTGGTTTGGATGAGAATGGCGACGCTCTCACTATGGGTTCTGGCCTCGTGGGTCAAGAAACTGCCCGGGAGGTTTGTGTTTGATGCATTTGGATCAATATGTTATGGTTGTTTGCGCCGTTCCACTAAGGACACGACATAGAATTTTGCTATAAATAACAAACTGTTATGTGCTGGTAGCGTTACTCAATCTGCAAATCAGCTTTACGCTTTGTACAATCCTATGTAGCTGTGCGCATCACTTTTGCAATGTCTTTAGGAGTCCAGACTCACTTTATATATCAGCGAACAAGGCTGGCTGCGAAACCCTTTCACTCCCTGTTACCCTATGATGTCTTTCTCTTCCAACTGATGTATGTATTCTTTCACTAGTCCATTCACTTAAAAAATCTGGTGTCATAGTTTGATAATAATTATAGACTTCAAAGTCTCTCAACCTGTTTGACAAATAATAAATGTGTCGAAATTGGGAGCAACTACAGAATGCAGGGCCACTTTGAACCATGCTCAAATGAGCTAGCTCGTTTGGTTCGGCAGTGGATGTAAGAACGTAGTATAAGTTGTTTAGCGTTAAGTCTTGGGTTCGTATATTTAGCGGCTCGTTTGGCTCGGCAATGGATGTAAGAAGAATTATACCTGAAAATGCTTTCTAGTGCCAGTAGAAGACCGAAGTGAAGCAACACTTTTACCGATTATTAGGGAATGGATAGAATCTGGAACTTTGACTGTATCAGACTGCTGGAAGTCATATTCCAAACCATCTGAGAATAGTTACTTACACGAGACTGTTAACCATTCGAAAGAGTTCGGTAACAGTAATGGCTTCAACACAAACAAACAAGAAGGACATTCAGGGGAGGCACATGAAAACAAGCCTGCCAATATTTGGAACAAGAAAAGAACATTTTTCATCATATTTAGCGGAATTTATGTGGTGTTATAAACATAAAGACAGTGACCCGTTTAAAGTTTTCTTAAGAGATATGAAAGCGTTTTATAAGCTTAACTAAACAATCAGAATTGATGACACTGATTTAAGCATTTAAGTTCAGTGTAATAGAAAATATTTGCATACTAGCGGAATTTATGTGGCGTTATAAACATAAAGACACTGATAAGGATTATTTAAGTTTATGTAACTACGGACTGAAGTCAAATGTAGGTATGGTAAACACAATGGGAAAGTTAAATGACATTAAGTTGAACGCTTTCTACTTTCTTGAGATGTTCAAACTTTGTAACGACAATTGCATAAGCAATAAATCTATATTTAGCTTGTACATAGAGAAGATAGAAACATGCATCACTGAGTTTCACTGCAGAGCAACCGAGCCAGGTGAGCCACTCAATGTACATAAAGAGTGTATGAGCCTGCAATTAACTTCGTCAGCGCAAAGAGCAAATGAGCCAAATGAGCCTGCTTGTTTGGTGCATGGTTAAGTGGCCCTGCATTCTGTATGAGGGATACTTGTGCAGTGAGGTAGAATGATTCACATACAGTTTTCCCCTTGAAGAGGTAATTGTGTCTAAGGTGTATTGCTGGATGAGTGCATGAATCAAATTCTTGTTGCTCATAGCTGCAGATATTTTTTCCTTCATTTAGGCAGCAGGAGTTGTGGTTGAACTAATAAAATCTAAAAAGATGGCTGGAAGAGCAATCCTCTTAGCTGGTCCCCCGGGAACTGGAAAGGTAGGCACAGAATACTTTTTGTAGCCATATACGGTAATGAAAATCAGGTCTATGTGTGGTTTTTATCTTGGTGATATCTTCTGTGAGAGGCAAAAGTTCTTTTACAGGTGTAGTTTGTCTCTGTTGATGATGGTCCATGGGACTTTCATCACATACAAAGTGCTAAATTTACAAAAGGAATGTTCTTTTCCATTTTTCCTATCAAAAGTGGTAAATCATACATACAGCTGTAAAGCAAACAAGTGTTTTAAACATATAGTTGAGTGAATCAGCTCTCTGCATTTTCAAACCGTTGGGATTATATTTTTGGGCAGTTGGTCTTGCTGTTGTCAAAAACAGTGTGTGTATTTGATTGTGCTATTTTAGACTGCATTAGCTCTTGCTATTGCTCAAGACCTTGGTCCAAAGGTACCATTCTGTCCAATGGTTGGGAGTGAAGTGTACTCTTCTGAAATCAAGAAGACAGAAGTTTTAATGGAGAACTTTCGAAGAGCAATTGGTAAGAACATAACTAAAGTAACACAAAGTTTATGCACACAGCAATGTTTACATTGTATGTTCCTGTTGTACACGTACCAGGGCTCGAAAAATATTTGAATTACACCTTGCCCATTGGGCAAGTAACCCTTAAGTTCTGCTTTCCCGGGGCACTTCCCTGCTTGTCCAAGTTTTCAAACTAATTAATAATTCATGAACAGAGATTTACCTGGATTTTACCTGGATTTTAGCATCAAAGGGCTAGCTTCATTTTCGCGTTAGAAATATGCGACTTCTCAGTTTTCACGTACGATTTCTACAGTTTTAATTAATATATCACTGTTGAGTTGAGTTTTGTATAGAGAAACCGAAACATTCTCATGGGAAATTGCTACAATTAAGAAATAAACTCAGCATTTTCGTTCCCAACGCGGCTATTTTTATCCTGGAAAGAAATTTGATTGGGGAAGATTTTGATCACGTGCTAGGTAACCACTTCTGAGCCGTGAGCGTGCGTCACGCAATCAACAAAACAATGCTGTAAATTCTAATTTTGGTCAAGCTTCATCTAAACACTTGATTACCCTTGGGCCTAAAGCTTTCCTTTTCTTCTCAAAATCATTATCAAAAATTTAGTTGGCGAACGGCTTGCCCGCTGGGTCCTTGCCTGTCGGGCAAGGAAGGAGAGAAAGCTACTTGCCTGAAGGAAAAATCTACTTGTCCTGGACGACCGGACAGGGGTTTTTTCGAGCCCTGCGTACAGTATAATGGATCTCTTAGGTAAATGGCTATAATAGGCAGTGTACTCTCATTTCATGTAAACTGAGATAGTGAAGTTTTTTGAGAATAAATTTGAGCTGAGATTTGGAAGTGTGGAAAGTATTCCAAGACTACACTGGTTTTGCTTTACAATGCTATGCTGTGAGTAAAAAAAAATTAATTTATATATATATCCTTTCATCTCATCTATTCAGCTACAGAACTCAAGCTTATCTGACTTGGTTACAATGACTACTGATGCAGTCCGGCCAAAGTCCCCCGAAAAGTGTTGTGATGTGCATTTCATCACATCCACAAGTTAATTTGTGCAATATAAATATTAAATTATTATTATTATTATTATTATTATTATTATTATTATTATTGTAGTTGTAGTTGTAGTAGTTGTTGTTATTATTATTATTATTATTATTATTAATGTCTGTGACTTTTTTTTTTAATGAGGTAGTTACTTTGTATCTTCCTTAGTGTGCACCTCACAGGCATACTTTGTATTTCTTTTTCATGAACAGGCTTGAGGATCAAGGAAACAAAAGAAGTTTATGAAGGAGAGGTAAACTGTTTTTTCTCAATTTACAGTTGCGGCATTGTTCCAGGTTGTTACTCCAAATGCATTAGAAGAGCTGTTTTGTTTTTGTTTTTGTTTTTAAGTTGTGGTAAAAAGTATCAAGAATCAATCACATTTAAATTTATGTAATGTACAATTCAAGGAAGAAACTTTCCTTTAGATTCCAAGATAAGAAAAGTAATAATAAAATTATTTATGTACAATGCATTTAGAGAAATGCAAAATTAATCCCAAAGAGTCACAAGAGTTATGTAATGAGAAGAAGGACGAGGAATGATTCAGAATCACCTTGGTACTAGATACAAGAGAGTCTTGAATCTCAAGTGTCAAGTTATATTGAGTCAATTTCTGCTGATAAATTGTCTTGTCCTTGTTTGCATGATATTGAGGTGTACTTACTAATTGAAAAAAATGCAAATGTCAGTTTTAATGTACAAAATAATCTTTTTTGTGACAGGTAACAGAACTGACACCCTGTGAAACGGAGAATCCCATGGGAGGTAAGAGTCATGCACTAACCTTAATATTTATTTGGCTTGTTAGGCAACCAGGCAAGATGAAGCAAGTACTGTGTTCTAATAGGTTATGATGGGGTGATGGGAAAGTTGGGTTGATCTTGCCTGCTTATTTGGCACAGATGACTCCCTTTAATAGGCCATTTCCGAATTACGTTTGGCCTCTTTTTCAAAATGAGGCCTGGTGCTCAACCATACGTATGAAAATTAGTTTATTTGCATGTGAATGAAAACTTGTTACCATACGAAAGGATGAGCACCAGGACTTGCCTTGAAAAAGAGGCTAAAGGCAATTTGGAAATGGGCTATTTGTCCATCATCTTAAATTGGCAGTGATGGAGATAAGAACTTTCCTCACTGAATGTGATTTTTATGGCAGAAGATTATGACATGTCCTGAAAATTGTTTAATTTTTTTTGCAGGATATGGTAAAACTGTTAGCCATGTGGTAATAGGACTGAAAACAGCTAAAGGGACCAAGCAGCTTAAGGCAAGTTCAGCTGACAAGCATGTCATCCGTCCCTGACTCCTTTAATTTTTGTTGTTCTCTATTCTATTTCCTTCTTTTTCTTCTTTAATTGTACCATGCACTTTTCATTATTTTTTCCAATTGATTGCAGCTGGATCCTTCAATATATGAAAGTCTTCAGAAAGAAAAAGTAGAAGTTGGTGATGTGATATACATTGAAGCAAACAGTGGAGCAGTCAAGGTTTGAAAAGCTTTCATCTTGATTTACCTCTTTGAAAGTATGTGTCATGAATTTTCTAATTTCCTAGAACATTAGAATATTATTTTATTAATATTAAACAAATGCTTTTTTTTTTGCATTTATAATTGATTATTTTCACTGTCCAGAGTCTAGTCAGTTGGGCTGCTGAATAGGTAGAAAAGATTTTGCTGAAAATTCTCTACATGTTTGCCAAAATCTTTTTCATCAAAATGTCTTTATTATTTTACTGTTAGCAAACTGAGGAGTTTTAAATCTATTTGTTTGTATGTGTAGGGAGGGAAGTAGGGAAAGGTAAAGTCTGTTTACAAGCCAGATGGCCTATCAGGCCGGCACTTAGCTCTGGTTTCCATAGCATGAAGTGACAAGGAGTATTTCTGCTCCCCCCTGTATGGGATGCTAGCCCATCAAAGGGGTGGAGGGAAGTGCCAGTTTCATAAGATTGTTTTACCAGTACATGTATCTTGAAATGTCTTTTTTAACCTAACGTTACACCATGTAGTGATTTACAATGAACTTTTTGATCACAGCGTCAAGGAAGATCTGACACATTTGCTACAGAATTTGATCTTGAGGCTGAAGAATATGTTCCACTACCCAAAGGTGATGTTCACAAGAAGAAGGAAATTGTGCAGGATGTAACTCTACATGACCTCGATGTGGCTAATGCAAGACCACAGGTATGGTGTAAAAAGAAACACATACAGTACAGTGTAACCTGAATATTAATCAGTTTACTGAGAGAGAGGACAACTGGAAGCACTGGTGGTAAAAAGAATATGATTTAAAGGACCTTTTTTGACTCTGTTTTAACCCTTAGCCCCTTACATTCATATGCATCAGTATGCATATTCTCCATACTGTTCTCTCTACATTTCCTAATGTGCTGACAAGGAGAATTTTTTTAACAACCAAGAGCCTCTTTAGTTGGTGATCATTGCCTTTATTCTCATGACCTTGACGTGTGATTCGGGGCTGATGTTGTAAGGAGAAAGTAGATATATATTAGTCACTCTCAGGAGACAAAGGGTAATTTTAATGTCAGGGAGAAGTACAGTATTGTTGTATGTACATGCATGCTTCAGGAATCAAATACATGTACAGTTCAAGCTTTTTTGGTAAAAAGAATTAAAAAGTTGACACTGGCAAAAAATATTATGGTACTGGACATTTCAGCTACTACTGTTTTCTTCTTCAGCAAAAATAAAGAATGCAAATGTCGAACAGCGTCTTGCTTGGTAGGACACATCGTGTACATGTACCAAGCAGGATGCGGTTAGACATTTGCATTTTTTATCTTTGCTGAAGAAGGTAGCAGTAGTAGCTGAAACATCCAGAACAATATATGTTCAGCCAGTGTCAACTTTTTAATTCTTTTCACCAAACATTTTTAACATGCATGGCAACACGCTGAATATTTTTACAATTAAAGCTGTCAACACGTACTTTTGAACATGCACAGAAATGACCATACACTATACATGTACCCTCTGTGTGTAAGATCCAAAGTTTTGCCTCTTGAGCTTAATTTTCTAATGAAATACTGTTCATAGGGAGGACAAGATATTCTCTCCATGATGGGACAGCTAATGAAGCCTAAGAAGACAGAAATAACAGGTGAGGCATTTTATGCAGTGTCGTGTTTTCTTGGACTCTTTTTCTCTTTTTTGTTCCTTGTTTTTTTTTTTTCCCTCAGTGAACAGATCTGAAGTATAGTTTCGTGTACATATGTTTATAAATCTGTAACACTTTTTTGCATTTTTTTTTTCAGACAAATTAAGAAAAGAGATAAACAAGGTAAACGGAATATGTCTGGTGGGAACCGTAGTGTACTCGTGCACTCATGCTAACTTCTTTTTTATGCCAATTTGGCTTTGTATGTCTGTCACTTAAGAACGGGTTCAGTGAGTTAAGTTTTTAATTTGTTTTGTTCATTACAATCAGCAGCTGAAAATGAATATTTTTCCAAAGTTCCTAAAAATGTATGAAGTAGGGTTAAAGGGAACCTACTTCAAATGATTGCAAAATAGGGGTGGTATTTGATTATTAATTAGTTAATTTATATATTTGGTAGGTGGTCAACAAATACATCGATCAAGGAGTTGCGGAACTGGTTCCTGGCGTGTTGTTTGTGGATGAGGTAATTTCGTAATGTTCTTTTTTCTTTTTTTTTTTGTGACGGTGTACAGTGCACGACGGTTAGTATGGTGCCCCCTCCCCCCCCCTGAACTTAGGTACATGTACGTGTGACCCTCAGATTAATTTTTTACTTCACTCTTTTCACTTTTGTTTTCAGGTTCACATGTTGGATATCGAATGTTTTACTTATTTACATCGAGCTTTAGAGTCAACCATTTCCCCGATTGTTATCTTTGCAACAAATCGAGGAAACTGCACAATAAGGTACCGTTATAACATAGAGATCATTTGTAATAAATCATATTTAGAGGTGCTGTATTCCACGAAAATATTCACGAAGTTGAAATGGGCACGGGAAACATTGCTGGCATTTATAGCTGGTCTCTTTCGCTGCTAATGCGAATCTTTCTGAGAGTTTCAGTTGCAATGAGAGCTCAGGATGTTATATTAAGCCTCCACACCCGAAACTGTCGGTCTGCATAATATTATCACGCTTCACTTGGCTGCTTGAGGTAAACACGTAGACCGAATAATAAGTGCCCTGGGCGCCCTGTCGAGAGATCAGATCGTGTCTGAGCGCTGGTCGGGTCATTGTGTTTAATCTCAATTACTTCTCCCTCCACTTTGAAGTTTTCAAGGAAGGGCTGTCCGGTAAAAATGAAGATATGTTGGGGAGCAAGGGGTGGTGGTGGTGGTGGATACACACGATGTTTTAATATCCCATCAAGGTGGAATAGCGTTTGCACATTTTACTTCACGTATTTGTTTGTTCTGTTGTTTCTCAGGGGCACGGAAATAAGCGCTCCCCACGGGATACCCTTGGATCTGTTGGATCGACTCATGATCATCCGCACCTTACCCTACTCACAAGATGAAATGGTTCAAATTATTCGCATTAGAGCACAGACAGAGAACATTCAAGCGGATGATGAATCGCTGGGCCTTTTAGGAGAAATCGGCACTAAAACTACTTTAAGGTAAGATTCCGTTAAGAACGAGATGGTCCTATTGTGTTAAATGTCTGAATTACGGTTAAGTTAGGTGCAGTATAATTATTTTCGGACGTTGAAGGAAGTATAGCTTGAGAAAAATTGCTGAGTGACGGTAGCACGAGTCTTGCGAAGACAGGTTACTACTTGACGCTCTGACGAAGGGCAAACGCTCGAAGCTTCAAAACTTTTTACATAATCAACTTAGTTGCTACAACCAAAATTACCTTGTTACTCTCACCGACGCAGCACCACAGTTTCTTTTGAAACTTATCCCCTTTATTAGCGGTTTAAATGTCTAGCAACTACAACTGTAGCTCCACCTCGAACTACCGTTACCAAAATGCTACGCGCTTATATTCTTGTTTGGTTTTGTTTTTGAACACTGGGAGTTGACATCACACCAGTCTGGGATTTAGGCACTTCTGGCCGTGTAATCAAAAATCTGTAGCACTGAGGCTAATTTAGAGATTAATTAATTTGGAGATAACGAAAAATGAAAGATTAAGAAAACACTCACAGACGTGATCCTTGTGCTCACAAAAAGTATAAAAGTTTCATGCAAAGAAAATATCAGAAACGTGAAACTTTTGAAACATTGAATTCTACACCGTATCTTAACTTACCTGACTATTGTCATGGGTTTGTGTAGAAGCACCAGCAAAACTAAAAGATCTGTGGAAACCGCAAGAAACATTTAAAGATTTCTGGAGTAGACGACAAATTAACATGCCTAGTAAAGCCGTGCTTGTGTAATAGTGTTAAAAGGAAGACAAACTTAGGATCTGAAGCAGACTCTCCAGAGTAGAATACAGATTTAAGGCGAAGTGATAGTTCAGAGAGAAAGATATACAAGACAGCTTATCAAATGTCTCGACGTTTTGCAAATATACACGATTTGAAGGAGTTCCTCTCTTTTTTTGTTTTGCCTATCAGATATGCAGTTCAGTTGCTGACGCCGTCTAACCTACTCGCCCGCATTAACGGTAAGTCCATATTACAGGATGGATTGATAATAGATAAATAAATAAGATATAGATAAACGCTCCTCTCCACTCAGCAGCATAACTACAGTAGTTCCTACTTAAATTTCAGGCATATCTGAGGAAATTCTGAGGGGATCACCTTTGATAAATTAGGTAGAGGAAGTAGTGTTACCCGTAATGATTTTTGCTAAGAAACCTGGGGGTTACGTTACGTGTGCTTTGGTGTTGTGGCGAACGTAACACTTAAGCTGATGTTTGTATGTTACACAGGTCGTTCGAGTATCAACAGACAGGATGTGGAAGAAATAAACGAGCTATTTTACGACGCCAAATCCTCAGCTAAACTTTTGGCAGAGCACGAGGACAAGTATATGAAGTGAAGATAATGAGCTTGAGCCGTATCGCCAAGAGAGATGTTCTTTCTTTGTAATACTTTTAGTTTCGTGTCAAAGCACTGTTAAGTCAGGTGTGGTAACTATTTAAAACTGTTACAGTATAAGCGTTTGTATGTCGTTGAGAGTGTTTTTTATATAAAGGATTGAACGGTTTCAAAGTCGCCATTTTGAGATCTACTGTGTCGGTTCTTTTCCTTGAACGGTCAGAACCTTTACTCTTCCTCCCCTCCATAATCACAACGAGATTACCACCGGAGGAATGAAAAATAGGTGGTTGCGCACGTTAGCTGTGGAACGGTCGGTGGCCAAGGGTTTTATACGTGACGCGTGATTAAGGCCTAAATAAACAAATGATGCGTGAATTTTACAGGAAGGCGAACTTGATTCGTGAGGTTATGAACCAGCGTGAGGGGTGATTTGTCTCTTGAAATATACGTTACTAAAGAATATTTTCTCTCATTTCGTGAAAACCTCGAAATATCCCTGAAACCTCGTGCACAAGAAGGGATTTGCAGATTTTCCTTTTAAATTCGTGACGCGTGAATTGCGAAATCAGAACTCCTCCCCCCTTTCCCTTCCCCCTTTGCTTTCCCCTGGGAATGACGCCGGTGAAACAAGTCTTCTGACTAAAGACATTTATTACTCTCAGTACACAGTTATATTTTATTTTAAGGCTGATAAAGTATTCCCCTCCACAATGCTATTGACTTGGGAAAGCCAGCATCAACTTGTCCAGCTGTAGAATTAAAGCGGTAATATAAGTCTTCCTTGAAGAAGTATGTCTGGCCATTTTTATCTGAAAACACGGTATCGGGACCATTCGGTACGCCGCTCCACGCTGATGCTATGGGTCTTGGGAAGCCTGAGTCTACTTCTTGGGAAGTGTCATTGAAGCGGAAGTAATTCGAGTCTTTGAAGAAGTAAGTGAGACCATCGATGTGTCTGAAACAGAATGAACGGATTTGTTGCTCAGGATTCTCTTGCTCTGATATACGAGTTAAACTAACTTAGCGGTATTTGAGTCGTTTTATTCGAGACGTGTAAGAACATTTCCAAAGGAAAGGAATATTTAAATTTACGCTGATAAGATGAATATACAATCAAATGTGTAGATTAAACCAAAACGCAACTAGTTTAGTTCAGCATGGAGAGTATTCAATAAGATTAAAAATGAGAGTAGCGAAAAAACTTGAGTAAACGTTTTCAAGGTCGTGGTAGGGTATCTGTGAACGTTTTCCTCTTTCAGTCACTGCTCAACAAATGTGTATCTGGTAAGATCCAGTGGGACGTAGTTCAGCGGGTGAGTGAGTGAAAAGTTAAAACGGCGAAGATGGGAAATATTCTGGCCAAGAATCCTCAAGTACCCCAGAGAAACTTCCCTTGCAGTATAGTAACGTTTAATTTAGATTGCACTTGGCTTCGCTCAATTGGAGCAGTTTTCAACTGAGTGCCATAAAACCAAAACCAAAGTTAAAACAGCGACCAATCACAACAAAAGTTTACATTATATTTAACCAATGAGCACTCAAAATGAAAGCAAGCTGCTTCAAGGGCGGGAAAATGCGACCGTCTAGGCCGCGATTGTTTTGAGGTTTCCATCTGATTGGTTGATAGGTAGGTGCAAGTTTTCTGGACCAATCACATAGCAAAGTTAAGTAAAACCAAAACAATCCTGGATACGTTCGACGCTCAATTATAATTGGTGTAAGTCAAGAAAAACACTCCACTCCGGCCATCCACCAATCAAATGCTGAACTAAAACTTGTAGCAAGTGCGTTTTCCTGCGCTTAAGCGGGCACTTGTATATACATGACTTCTCATAAGACAGGATCTCTTCTCAGAGATCCTTTCAAAGAATCATCTAACGCAATTTCGTGGCCCGTTCTGGTGGAATTACCTGAAAACGGCGTCGACATTGTTCGGTATTCCTTTCCAAAACGAGCTTATTTCACGTGGATAACCATCTTGGACTTTCTGTTTGCCATTATCGTACCGGTAGAAAAGGTTCCCCTTAAAGAAGTACACAAATCCATCGCTCCAAAGAAACGCGGCGTCTACATCAGCTGGCACTCCTTCCCAGGCTGCCAATCCGCGTGGATATCCGATATCAACTTGGCTAAACTGTTCATTGTAGCGCCAATAGCTGTCCCCTCTGAAGAAGAAGGTGTAGCCGTTCAAGTGTCTAAGGAAGGTGAAGGAATGAAATAATTAGTTCAATTACAAGGGATTTGTATTACAAGTTTATTACAATTTTATGAATAGTTTATGGCCATATGAATCATGTCGACGCAAATATGCAATTATGAAAAGCCGCGATTTCAAGACATTTTTAAATTAGATCAGGTATGTAAAAGCAAGACTGACGTGAACACTGTGTAGTTAGCAAAGTCTGGTTCACTACTCCACCATCGGGTTATTGACTCAGGGTAGATGGAAGGAACACTTATTGATTGATCGCTGTGCACGAATAACCAGTGCTGTGTATCCTTGAAGGCAAAAACGCCGCCATTGTACCATTGTAAGGCGCCTTCAATGTCGTTCGGGAGCCCATTCCAGTAAGAACTTACAAGGCGAGGATACCCGTGGTCCACTCTGAGGGTACGTGGGTTGAACCTGTAGTATTGTGCTCCTTTGAAGAAGTAGGTGAAGCCATTCGAGTGACTAAAATAATTAAGTAAACGAAGGAATAAGCGAACAAATGAACAAAGTTCGAAAGGTAGATTGAAATATTGATACGCTAACCCATGTTGCGGGAAGGTTGCTTACCTGAGTGCAAATTACTGATATGGCCTAGTGAAGGGAAATGATAAAGGGTTACCTAAACCTAAAAAACCTTTTGAGAGTTAAAGCCCGTCCAACGATGGATGTTGGGACATTTAGATTGGTTACCTCTCTTTATTCGTTTATAGAGTTGATACTTAATTATTTGAGCTTGAAGTACGAACACACCCAAATGATAAGGATTTTACTATGATAAGCAAGCTTCTACAGCACACACAAAAATATTTTTGCTGAGGAACTTGCTTTCAGAAGTGTTTATAATGTCTGCTGAAAACATTTGAATTGATGGTGAAATGTAAGGGAAAATAGCTTACCTGATGACGTCATCTATATCACTCGGCACTCCAACCCAGTAATCACTTATAAGTCGAGGATATCCTTCGTCCACCTTCAGCGATGTGTCGTTAAACCGGTAATATTGGTTTCCTTTGAAGAAATACGTGAGGCCATTGGCGTAACGAAAGACGCCGTTTATGGAGGAAGGGACATCCTTCCAATGGTCGCTGATAGGTCGAGGGTAGCTGGGGTCGATACCAGGAAGACTCTCATTGTAGCGGTAGTACTTTGATCCGAGGAAGAAATAAATATAGCCGTTCGACCAGCGGAATGCAGCATCGATTTTGCAAGGTCCTTGAGGATGAACAAAATCAAGTTTTGTAAGTAAGTATTGTAGTTAGTTGAAGAGGGAAGCTGTGAACACTCAAAAGAAAATCAGCTAGATGACGTCTTCTATGCCAATCGAAAAGGCATCGAATCATGAGCAACAAATTTCATTAAACTTGGTGAGAAGGCCATTTTAGATTCGAGGTTTAAGAGGTCTGTTTGCAGACTTTGCTGCGTTTTTTTATGAGAGCATGATCTTAACTCACCTGATGCCTCTTCCCTCCCGTGAGAGTAAACGATTGTCAGGAAAACTTGCTAATATCACTGGAGTAGAGAGGGGTGGGTAATTATGATTCTGAATGTTGAGCAATACATCAGGCGCACAAGTGACTGCGCGGTGAGACAAATAGTTTTGTATTGCTTTATTGTAATAGCATTTAACTACGACTAGTTTAGGTGATAACGTAATTTCGAGTGCAATTAGATGTTAAGAAACACCAGTAACTTATTCAACAACAACAAAAGTGCTAATTTAACCTAATTGCAAGAGAAATCACGTTGTTACTTATTAATAAGCTACATGCATAAAGCAACACAGAAAGTCAAGACAGAAAAAATGTTGACGGCTCGCGCCATTTGCAATTTGCACTCGTATTACATAAAAATACATTCTTTCTTAGCCAACCAGGCGCACGTAACTTTCTCATGTTTATTATTAACAAAAATATATTTTTATGACGATGGTTTGTGATAGTGCACGATGAAATATGCATAAATGGATCAAAAGAACAAAAAAACAGAGAGAAACAAAATACAATTACTTAAACTTACTATAGATGTTTTTCATCAGAGTTGGTCTGTAGGTCTTGACGTCTTTTTCCATTTTAGATATCTGCCCCGGAGTAAATTCATACATCCATTTGTCCTCCATGTCTTGAAGAAAATGGAGTTCGAACGTAAGAATTCAACGCAAAGGATTTCCTCACCTACCATGTTAACTACATGCAAGGCTATTTAAATACTGCAATTTATGTCATTTAAAAAAAGAATTGCGTAACTGAATGAAATCTCGCATTCGGATTCGTTTAGCGTGGAATTGCGAGTTAAAAACGAGGCTCAGTGATTTTGTTTCGCATGTCTTGTTTCGGACTCAGGACAAAAACAAGATATTCTGTTTTCGTTTTTCTTATTTTTATTCAATTATGCGAGCAACTTAACGTGGAATTCACGAGTCAGGTAAAGAATTTTCCTATTAAATAATTATTAAACAGAATACCGGTTTAATAATCCAGAATACTGGATTTCCAAACAGAAGCGGTTTTTTAAAACATTTAACGATAAAAAATTGCGATAAAATATTTCGTAAAAGCATATTAAAATTTGTAGACGACGTTTCGACGTTTGGCCAATGACGTTAGCTAAATAAATTTTAATATGCTTTTACAAAATGTTTGAATCGCAATTTTTTATCGTCGAAGGATTTTCAAACGCCGGATAAAAGAGATCTAAATAGTATTACGTGTTTTGACGCATTTTAGGCGCAGCAGACGTTGTCTCGATCTTTTATCGACTACTTATACCCTAACAGCATCATACATATTCTCCTGAGTTTTGTCCTTTGTACATCTTCTATGATACCATTGATTAGGGAGAATTTGTTGAAAAATCAAGATCTTCAGTTGGTGATTACTCCATTTTTTTTTTGCAGAACAAACCTTAATGTTTGATTCAGGAGTGATAAGTTAAATAGAGACTACAGTATGTTGATCACTTTTACGGATTTATGCGTTAAAAATACTCTTTTAAACGAAAAAAAATATAGTCATACTAATAATCAAGATGGACTTTTTAATCCTCCATGTCACGAATCTAGTTTTCTGTTTTGATCGTAAGAGCCCAAGAATTCAGATTCTGAGTGTAATACTTACAACCCATATAATTATGAATTGGATCCAGTCCACTGATAGATTTACAAGTATCCACTGGTTGGTCTGTGCAGATATAGGTGTAATCAGCGCAGCGTGGAGTGTCGGCCACCTCATCGTCTTCCTCATCGAAACAACCTCCCTGTTGTACAATGTTTTATGGTCAGATGAGTTTGGAAGTGGATTAAGTCAGTTGGAGCGAGCTGAAGAAATTATCTCAGGAACTTAGAAGAAGTATAAAAGAAAAAAAAAAACTCGATAAAATTTGTTGGTCTTTTTTTAGAACTTTCATCGGTAAGCCTCGACACGGTGCAATGGATCATTTCCCGCAGCCGGTTTGGCTGGCCGAAGATCTTTTTTAAAACCCAGTTTTCAGACAGGAATCTTTTTTTATTCATTTTTGGGCTTTTACTTATTTTTATAGGTGAAATAATATTATAATTATTCAGGAATGTCATTGCTGTTAACAAGTGGCACACGCTTGAGCTTTTGTATTACATACCTTACAAACGTGAAAGAGACCAAAATAATGACCAACCTGTAAAGATGCATTCGAACAGTAATCAAAAGTCAGCAAAAATCGTTATTATTACAATATTGTCCAGTGATTTCATGGCATAATAATATTTCTAGCCTAAAACTTCACTAGAGAAATGCTTAGGGAACTTAACAATAACCGTGAAGGTGACATGTTTTTAAGATGGTTAAGCGACAATTACACTAGACGCTTCTTTTACTCGCCCCATTCCCCGTCCCATATTGGTGTTGTATGTACTGCTCACAATAAATCCTAAACGGTTGATTAGCGATCAAGATATCAGTGCCTAAATAAGGTTATAAGTCCATACCCTAAGGGTGCTTAGACTCGAGCGGTACTCGCCAGCCGAAGGATGCTGTATTTCTCTTCTGTCTTTCATATAATTATGAAAGGATTACCAGGTTAACGAGGTATAAACGTTGGTTTGCACCTCCACTTTGTCTCGGCGGAGTTATTAACCGTGTTTTGATTGTTTGAGGAGTGCAAGGTAAATTAAAATCAAACTAAGAAAAGACAGCAAGAACATGCCTGACGGTTGTGATACTTGTGCGAATAGGGATACTCGAGGAAAATTTCTCACTGATAATTAATTGGCACGAAAACTATTTAAAAATGCTAATACCGCGCAGAGATTGGAGACTAGCGAACCGCTGGAACGCGTTGCAACATGTGCCATTTTAACAACCAGTAAAACAAATCGCAAGTTGGTCGCTCACATTTGCATCCGTTTACACGTGTCTGACGTATATTTCCCTTGACCGCTTACATTTGTTATGTAAGTAGTCGCGATAATTTTGAGTTTAGTTGTACGACGCCTTACTGTGAAGCACTCTATCTATTTCAAATCCGCATAACTTCACCTCATGAACAGCATTGTCTCCAAGATTATGTGTTACCATGGCCCCACCAGGCAGTGTCCCATGGTGAATTGCCACGCCGTGCGATAGGCCAGATTCTATGTCACGCCAGGGAAACGTCGCATCTCCAATCACAAGAGGATCCTGGAACTGACACGTGTAGACGTTGAGCGTTGTTGCAGGCGAAATACCCAGAGCTCTTCTGATAAAGAACCTTCTTAGCTTGCAGTTGTTGAACCATTCTTCGTTATTTGTTCTGTCGACTGAACGCTGGAGATAAAAATAGACGGGAAAAGAAGTTAGACTTGAGCTGAGGGGAGTGAAGATATGTTGGTACTATCTTGCAAAACTGGTCAGTGATTTTCGTTATAGACGGTAAGGGCCGGTCATTAATTACTTATCGCGGG